TCTGGTCCATAGTTCAGTCAGTGACAATACTGGCCATGGTAGAGTCTGTAATGTCTCAATAACTGCACTTTTAAGGCACTAGAAAAAACACACAATTTGCATGTCCACATGATTTACACCTGTCAAAACAGCTGAGTACAGTACAGTAAAATTAAGTTTAAGTCAGGCCAGTAAGCTTGTTTTTGTTTCTGTTCATGGCTTTAACTTACTATTACTCTTGTCACTGATCGAATGAGAGAGAAAGAGGATTTTCTTGTCAATTTCACTTTTCAATCCCTGAGACCTTACATGTATATGTGAAGAAACTAAAATATTTTCACGCTTACTCTCTTTAATATGGTGTTTAGCTGTTCCCTCAGCTCCAACGTCAGCTACCAGAAAGAAAAAACCACACGTTACTCTAGTTTGAAAAGCATGGGGATATTAGCTAACAAGCTAATGAACTATAGTTGATTTTTTTTTAAACATAATTTCACAAACTGTCACTCAGTGTCAGCTTTATTCGACAAATGAGCTTGACCACGACTACAGTAACTAACATTACGTTAACATTTTGAATGTTTTTTTTTTTTTAAAGCAGGAATGAGGTGTGCTTGCGAGCTAATGCTAACGTTTGCACAGCTCAGTAACTTAGCAAGTCAAACACAACACGCTTTTATATTTCTAACGGCATGTAAAGCAGTGAAAAAATAATAGCTTACCTCGTATGCAAGACAACAACGTCGACCATTAAATGAAAAAGCAGCAAACCCACACAGCAGTGGTCCTCCGCTAATCCAATGTTGAGTGCAGCAGGTCCGAACTTGTTACGTCCTCTCTGTGCCACAGCGACGTCAACTGGCAGGTTCACGTTCGCGTACTGGGCACCGCGCAAAATGCAGTAATTTGTGTCAAATGAGAAGTTTAAGAAAGTCTGCAAAGCTCTACTGTCCTATAAACACAGCAGTACTGGGCTCCTCCGGAACCTCCTCGCAATTCCGATGCTGAGTGCAGCAGGTCCAACCTGTCAATCGGTCTGTGCCATGTGCAAAAAACGATGCAGGGACATTGGGCAAAATACAATAATCTCCGTTTCCCAAATGAGAAGTTAATACAGTTTAAGTCAGCAACAATTACTTAATTGTGTTAAAAACAGTACAACGCCCCCCTCCAAAAGAAAAATGTGTGAAACCCCAAATTATTCCTGTTACTTATTCAAAAAATCAACAAATCTTTACATTAGACAATCTGGAAACATGAACTGATTGTAATTTTTATTTGAAAATGTTAGACAATAAATCAATTATCTCAGTGTTTGCCAAGTAATTTTCTGTGGATCAACTAATCTAATTATTACTGCTGTAATTAAATTATTAACAATAGCCTACATATTGTGATGTGACTAGCATTTAATCTTTACTCTTTAGGCATCATTAAGAATTATTTGGATGCATACTTCAGCATGTGTTAATTTATACACTGTAATAAAAACAAAAAATCCTAAACTATATAGCACTATATTACTGTGGGACTTAGATTTGTGTAATGGTATAAAGCCAACTTAAAGAAAATGAGTAAATGGAACAAACTGTAATTATATCAACAATACTTAAAATACTACACAAATTTAAGTGCCCTCAAACCAACTGAGTTATTACTTCAACAAATAATTTTTGACTTAGGTTAAATTCATGGGAATGAGTGACTCCAAATTTTTTGGAGATCTGAGTTATGTAAACTTACTTCTTTTAGTAAGATACGCTGTTTTACAGTGCAGTCACAGACCTTTTATAAGTTAACCTGCTTATCTACCTACCTCCCTGCCTACAGAAAGTTTGGATAAAGCAACAGGTCAGAGCAGAGTAACATCGGTGCAGCGTTATAAGGATGGCAAGCACTGAGGAACAGATAATTATCTGCTTTGTTTTGTTATTTTTTATTTATTTCTACTTATGTATTATATATTTTTGTTATAGTTTTCTGAACTATGTAGAATGTAGAACGATGTATGAATGAGACATGAGAGTTCGATATGGTTACAACAAAGTGCTGTGCTCCTCTCAGTCCCTGCATGTTCACGTGTGTTGGGGGTGTGACTTTGGAGGGAAACCTGAAGGGAGGGGTTTTTTTCTGGATACTTTTAAAAACTAACCATCTCTCGCTAGTTTCTCCAACTTTACCTACCCTAGCATTATTTTTATGTAATTTGTTACTTATAACCCCTAAATGAAATGATAAATAATTAATGTCAGAAAATAATGTACAAATCACAGGATGTATTTTGGGACAATAACTTTTACATTCAAAGATGTATTGCAGAACTTGCTGTGACTCACTTGTTCTCAGCCCGTTAAGTACTGCATATGGGATATTATAGTATTTTAAATATTTTCCTGACACCAGATATTAATATGTGCTTTCATGGAAATCACCATGGTGGAGAGAAGGAGGATCCACATTCTTCACATATATTTTACATTGGTCTGTTCTCTGTACACTTGAAATCTATTGCATATCTGTCCGTCCTGAGAGAGGGATCCCTCCCCTGAGGTTTCCTACCATTTTTCCTCATTGAAAGGGTTTTTTTGTGGGGGGTTCCTTACTCAACTCATGGGTCTAACGACAGAAGGTATTAAATGTTTTACAGATTGTTTAGTCCCCTGAGGCAAATTGTCATTTGTGCCTATATATATATATATATATATATATATATATATATATATATAAAAACATTTGACTTGACTATTCTGAACAGCCGCAATTTATGGAAGTCTTACTTTGCAAAACCGTATGCTCAGTTCAGCAGTTCGTTCACAGTTTATTGATCTGTGTGCATAGTTTATTGATCTGATTATAAGGTCATCTGCTTGGTTTAGCAATCCACATGCACCAATTTCTGCACCATTATTGTTTTTCTGCTGTACATTCTTGACAGCAAATGGTTTGTGTTAGGGATTTCGGGCACTAATCAACTGATTTCCTCATTCATAATATGTCTTTCCTATTCAGCATCTCTGAATCATACTTTTTTTCTGAAGATACTCGATGTTCTTTCTGTATGCAATTAAAAAGAGGAGGGAGAGCAGGTCGTCCGCTAATCAACACATTTGGTGGTTTGATTCCCAAGACTGCACCTTGCATGCAAGCTCGCTGCCGTCTGTGTGTTTGTGAGTGAATGGGTAACCAAGTGGCAAATTGTAAAGCACTTTGGATAAAACTGCAACATAAATGCAGCCATTTACCATTTACAGTAACCTTCAATGCAAGTTCATAGTCTTTACATTCACATCCTGTTAGATGCCCCCACTAAAAAGAAAGAAATGAATGCATAAGAACACCTATTGATAAATCTTTACAAAGAAGTCGGACATCCCTGGAACAAATGTGATACAATATTTGCTGACAAAAGGAAACTTCAAACTGTGGGGGTGAAAAAAAAGAGAAACAATTATGGACTCCCTCTGCTTTCAAGTTTTAGAGCAGTTGGAGGAAAGGTACAAAGGAAATCAAAACCACTTTTAACTTGTGGCACTGAAAAACCAGCGACATGCTTAATTCTGTTGAGTACAGGGTTCCCTGTTGTCATAGTTCATAGGCTGCAGAGGCAAATCAGACACACTCGGTCTCAAAGAATTTAGGCTTGGCTGAAGCTAGGAGTACTGGCCGTGTATGCTGGCTTTGATCCAATTCCATTTCCTGTACAGGTCACTTCAGTATGTTTGAAAATAAGAAGAAAACTGTTCAAACTCTGAAGGCAGAATATCTGTAATACTGTGTCTCTCTTTATTGCCCAAAATAAGTTAATAAAATGTATCTCAGGGAGCAAAGCGCCTCCAAGATCAATCTGTTAGACTGAGCTGATTTTGGATCCCTGTGAACACTTCTTGTGCCATTGTTAATGCCCACTGAGTAAAAGAATAGATTAATAGTCCATCAGAAAACAATATTTTATAAAACATGTCCTCTCCATTTATCTAATTCGAAATAATTAGTGAAATGCTTCCTTTAATATGTGCAGCAACAGTGCAGAAATGTATGTTCTTAAAACACAGTCTCAGTCGGAGTGACTCTTCACTGTATGCCACTATAAGCGTCCATCTTGTGTAATTTCTGGACATGCAGAGTGCACTTCCAAGCGCAAAGGAAAAACTGCAGTGACAGTAAAACACAGTGCCAAACAATGTTTGGTTTGTCTGTTCTGGGCTACTGTAGGAACGTGGTGGCTCAACATGGCAGACTCCTTTTTAAGGCGACCTGTAGATATAAATGGCTCAAGGTAACAAAATATATATAATAAAATATTATATTCTTATTTTCAGGTGATCAACATGCCTATGAATATTATATTTAATTTCTGCCAAAATATCCTCCTAAATGTTGCACACTGGACCTTTTAAATACTATGGTTGAGCAAGTAATCAGCTGAAATGAGTATCAATATTTACGTACAGATCCATACTTTAACACACAAACAGCAGTCCCCTGGGTTAAAGTCCTGTGTTCATCCAAGACCACCACCTCAATGTGCTCTTTATACAACCTCACCTGACTTTGACATTGGGGGGGCTCTAGATTTGTAGCAGTGGGGTACTGACCAAGCGGCAGTATTCGACTTTGGAGTGAGACTAGGTTGGCAAATGACACTGCAATATAGTAACAGTAACTCCCATCTGAAATAAGGAAATACACTTGGTGCACAACTTTGCCTTGCAAAGCACAACTGCTTGATCCTTGTGATCTGACTTGCCAATCATAACCCATCATGAAACGAAGCTGCATGTTTTGATTTTATATATAACTGAAAAGCAGTGACAGTTGCACAATGTGACTTATAGCATGTCTCAACCACAGATGTCAAGGTTGTATTCTGGAATCCAGGAGCTGGAGTCAGACTAGGCTGCCATGACAAGACTAAATGAAAGCACAAGCCAAAGAGACTAGAGTCACATTTGAAACACATTATGTACTTGCAGTACAGTAGCATAAGCGTCGGCCTGTGTGTTGTGAACTCTGATTCATACCTGCTTAAGAGAAATGATTCCCTCCCTGCTTTCAGCGTCTGTGGTGATGCTGAAGATGGCAGCTGCATCGGCATTAGAGATGCTGTAGGTCATCTCAGCGTTCTGCCCTTCATCCTCATCGTTGGCTCTGATCCGACCCACTGCCTTCCCCACTGGAGCCAGCTCTGGTACGTACAGCTGGTAGCTCTCTGCAACAGCAACACAACATTTCAATATTACTTAGCAGGGCAGAACAAGATGACACCTCACTTATAGGTGACATCCAGTGGAGTCTGCTGGAGCTCGCATGTGAAGGCTGTAAACTGAGAGCAAGCAGCTTTAAAGACAGTGAGCAAGGGAATCCCTGCTACTCCCTCAAACCTGTAGATTTCCTCTGGAGGCTCAGAGCTTTGTTTACACTGTTTATTATGTCCTCAGAGCTGTCAGAGTCAGTGAACTTAGTGACCAAAGTGCTGATCATTGAGATGAGAGTGCATTAACTACAGAACACACATTCTCAGATAAAAAAAAGAAGAAGAAATAGGTGAAGAAATACTTCACTAATTCTGCATTGGGGGGGCTTTTCCGATCACTGTTAAGCTGCTGGCAATGAAAGTCAACACTTACCAGTATTATGTTATTCAAGCTGTAGGAAAGCTTAAAATGTAAGATTCTGTGCAGTGAGTGTTCAGTTTCACTGACAAAATCTTGATGGGGATTGAAGAAAAAGCAGAATAGAAGCAAATAGAATTAATTAGTGGATAAACAACAGAAAAAGAAAAGAAACAGAAAGTGAAACCAACAGAGTGAGTATGACATCTGTTGTACTAAGGGAAGATTATCCTGAATGTCACAAATCAACAGTTAAACATGCAGTGTGGAGTTCTCATTAACAGCAAATAAAAACAGGGAGAAAAAATGACCTGATTCTAATACAAGCCTGTTCCAACAACACATTCTCGCCCCTGTGGTTCAAAATATGACCCCTCTCATGTATAGACAACAATAAACAGTTGCAGTTTGGTTAGGTTTAGGAAAAGCTACTTGGTTAACTTTCCGAAAAGATCGTAAGGTGCATTACGGATCTGATGTAACTTAAATACATACCTGACATTATTTCAGTACATTACGTCTCTCTTACATCAAAACAATAAGAAATAGTTTGATGACAACTTTGATGGGGTGGCTGTGGCTCAGGAGGTAAAGCAAGCTGCCACCAATCAGAAGGGTGGTTCGATCCCCAGCTCCTCCTATGGCATGGCAAGATACTGTACTCCAAATTGTTCCAGATGCTGTGCCGTCACTGTATTAATGTGTGTGAATGGGATTCGTTAATTTCTGGTGAGCAGTTGGCACCTTGCAGTGTATCAATGTGTGTGAATGGGTGAATTTGACATGTAGTGTAAAACACTTTGAGTGGTAGAAAGTTGCTATATAAGTCCATTTAAATTTACCATCACAAAGTACCATGGGGCATTGGGAGTTGTTGTCTTCATTGTTAAACAACCACCATAACCTTAGAATTCAATTCAATTTCCAATTCAATTCAATTTTATTTGTATAGCGCCAATTCATAACAGAAGTTATCTCAGGACACTTTTCAAATAGAGCAGGTCTAGACCGAACTCAACTCACCAGTTGGGGGAGAGAGAGAGAGAGAGAGAGAGAGAGAGAGAGCTACACTAATAGTAGTGACTGATGATGATGAACATGAAGAAGATGATGACGTCGACGACAACAACGATGGGGGACAATGAGCAGAGATTATAGTAATAATAGTATCTGTATTAATAATAGTAATAATAATAACAATAATATCAGCAATATTAGAAAGGAGTCAAGCAGGACCATGACAGGAGGCTCCACCAGGATCCACGAGAACCTGCGAGGCGAGAAAGCACAAGAACTCTGGGGAAGAAGTGAAGTTAGTAACATGCATTAATGAATAATAAATAAAAAAGATTTCTCTGACTTGGCTCAGGCAGAAATTGTTCACAAATTACATAAATTAAAGTTTAATTCATGTTTATTATACGTTTAGCCCCATTTGCCAGCTTCCTCTCACTCTCTGCCATGTTACTCAGAAGTTATAACAACTAGAGGCAACTTAGAAACAGTCCTTACCTGAATAAAATGACAGATTGCTCTGGGTTTGTTTTTTGTTTTTTGTTGGAAACATTTGGGATAATGTCAATATAGAACTCAACAACATATATAACATAGGTACATTTTAATGTGGAAATGTTAGATATTATATGTTTAAGATTCTGCCCTACCAAGCAATGATTGTGTATAACATTCAAATTTACTTTCTAGCCATTTTCTGTCCTTTGGATCTTATTATTCATATTTGGCCACAGTACAGACAATTCTGGTGGGTGTGCTCATGATATTCTTGGATGAAATGTTTTTCACACAAATCATTTTTGGTTTGCTGCTGTATGAGGGAGTTTCTGTGTCCTTGAATACGAGACAAAATAAATGTGTACATATTAGATAAGTAAGTTGAGTTGCTATGCCATTTGTGATGTAACATTTCTTGACATGTTTACTACTCTAATTTACATAATACTATATTCATGCTGGCCTGAAGCTGTAATTGTAAAGCACAATGTGAGTGTGTGTTAAGGTTATTAATCACATAGTGTGGGTATCAGCGGGACCAGAGAGTCTCAGGACACTCAGAACAGCTGTGTTAGTGTTTGATATTTGGCCCTGCGGTAAAGTGGATCTGTACTGGAAGTTTGGTGATGCGATTTTTGAAATGTTCCACATTTAAATCAAACAGTAACATAAGCAGTGGCTAAACTTGTAGAATTTGCAGTAGCTGTTTCAAGATAACACAGCAGGCTTCAAAATAATGTTCTGCACCAGAAGATAAAATAGAAGAACCAGCTATCTGAGTCAGTAAAAGAGCCAAAAGTGAGAGAAATTGCTCTTTAAAAGTCCAGTTTGTAACATTTGGAGGATCTATTTTCAGAAATGGAATATAATATTCATAGGTATGTTTTCATTAGTGTATGATCTCCTGAATATAAGAATTGTTGTGTTTTTGTTACCTTAGAATGAGCCGTTTTTACCTACGCCATGAGTTGCCTTCCATGGTGTTCACCATGTTGAACCACCATGTTTCTACAGTAGCCCAGAACAGACAAACCAAACACTGGCTCTAGTTTCACAGCCACTGCAGTTTTGACGAGTGGTTTTGAGTTATTGGAAATCTGTAACTTCACAAATAGATACCACTAAATCCTACAAACTGTATCTTTAAAACAGTGTTTCTCAAATGGGGGTACATATACCCATAGGCAGGCCAGCTGATAGTCTGGCCCGGGACGAGATAATCTTAGATGGGCCCCCCCACGCCCAGATCTCTCCTTTTCCTCTGCTCTTCCTCTCCTTCCAATAACAATTGTTTGTGTGCATGGTTTCTTTCATGTTCTGGAAATCTCTCATAAAGCTTTCTGTAAATTTCTGGAATTTAGTGCACTAGTTGACTTTTTCTCTACTGCAAGCATGGTAGGCAAAATAAGGCCTTTTTTGAGCTGCTATATACTATCCAGTCCCATTTTTTCCCTTCCATTGTGGGATGTGGAATAAGTTTGAGAATTCCCTGCCCTCTGCATCTGCTGGCAATTCCTTTGTCCTCTCTGAGAAAGGCGCCATCACACGTACGACGTTCACTCTATCAGAGTCGGTCATTCTAGTTGGCCATAATGCAGTATCACTGAAATTAAATGTGTGATCAGTCTCTGATCCATCCTCAGACTCTCCGACGGGGCAGCGGGCCCCTCCCGCTCCACTGTGACTGTCTCTCTCTCTTTCTCTCTCTCTCACCGGTAGCCTGACTCTGTCCCTCCGTTGCGGGGCAGCGGGCCCCTCCTGCATCACTCTCTCTGTCACCTGCCTGCAGCTGGATCTCTCTCCTCTCTGTCTCATTCTCTCTGACGGAGCTACCAAACTCAACTGTTTCTGTCAGATAACGTGTTGTGTCAGTCTTTAAGCTGATGGATGTTAACATTAGAGCTGGCCTGTTAGGTTACGTTACAAGGCTGGTAAACGTTGACTGTGCTGTTTCTTACCTTGCTCTACGTTAACTTTACTATTTCCAGCTTCACCGTCACCACCTTTTTTTAAATATTCAAAATCTCTAAGGCCTCTTTATTTTCTTCTTCTCTTCTCTTTTCTTTCCTTTTCTGAGCACCGGACTTGTGCTGACCGGACTTTTTTAGCGTACTGAACTTCAAATCAACCACAACATCAAATTTCGATCAGTGGCCAAACCATTTTTGTGTTGGGGGTGGGGGGGTTCTTGACCACTATTTCAAGGACAATTAGGAAGAAAACTAATAAAAAGCTTTTATGTAACTCAAATATTACACTTTTTTTTCCCCCACAAGTAGGCCTATTTTAAAATTTTTTTAAAAATTATTCCATAATTTAATGAGGGCCCAGTTCAGTTAGTGATTACAAACTAATGAAAACATACCTAAGAATATTATATTCTATTTCAGACAATCGATCTTCATGAATGTTACACACTGGACCTTTAAAGGATGGAAACAACGCAGGCAGACATGGCAGTGCTTCTTTTGCTAATGTAAAATGTGTGGCCGGCTGTTCAGATCAATTTAACTCACAAGCCACATGCATATGTGGTGTTCCTCATGGAGATCCTCATGGTGCGAACTACAGGGGAGTCAGGGGGAGCTCGGCTCCTCTTAATAAGACATGAGCTCCCCTGAAAACATGATTTGTGAAATTGTGTGGCCTAAAATGTCTGATTTCTATCTTTCTAGACAATTGCAATGCACGTTGAGATGTTTTTAGGCATTTCCCTGTAATGAAATTGCAGGAGAAAGTGAAATAGCTCATTGAAAATTGAAGGCAACTTGTTCCAGTGAGACAGGCATTGGTTGAATTTGCATTAATTGTTGTGATGGCAACTTCCTGGAGGGACAGCAACATGCTTGCCATGTATATATCTATTTTTGCATTATGTGTAAACTTACTATTGATATATTATTTGTGCACAAGGGTGACTCGTCCCTAATTCACTTTAAAAAGGATACTGCTATTCTTGCCATCACCACTAAAGTGTGACAGCCCAATCATTAACTTTAGATTAGAAAATATCAGAAAATATATCCCCCACGACAGTAGAGAAAGTGAGCTCCACTGAAAGCCGTTGTACAGTTTGCACACTGGATATCCTTGGTGTTTTCACACTCACACTCAGACTTACCTTAACAACAATTTTTTTTATTTACTTCATGTAATATCACTTGACAGGAGCTGCGGTCCAATAATACAGGTACAGTCTCCACACTTTTATAAAAAAGGATTATGTGAAACTTTTCTGTATCATGATGACATCTATATTTCTCTGAAGGAATAAAACCAGAACAACAACAACCAAGGTATAAAAGAGCAACTGCACACTAAAAGTGAAGAAAGAGCTGAAGCACGAAGATGAGGTGCTGTGAGAAAAAAACTGTGCATGAGAGAGATCACTCACTCTGTGAAAACTTTGGAGGGTTGTCATTGACGTCAGTGAGGGTGATGTTGACAGTAGTGGATCCAGACAGTCCTCCGACAGAGCCCGCCATGTCTTTGGCCTGGATCAGTACGGCATAGTGGTTTCTGGTCTCACGGTCCATGTTGGACATCGCTGTGCGGATGATACCTGAGGTAGAGATTAGGAGAGAAATTTGTATTTTATTGGAGTAATATGTGAAAATAACAGTTTGCTTATAGCCATTGGTTCACAGAGGACTTATTAATGATGACTTATTCTGTCTGCAACTACACACTGTAAACAAAAAAAGGTTAAGAAAACTCAAAATTTTAAGGCAACCTTTTTTTTTTTAAGTCAAACTCTTATACACTAACAATAATACTGATTACTTTTCTTCTTGAGAGAACCTTGAATCTTCAAGTTTTAGAAACAAAAAGAATTGATTAATTTTAAAGTGGAAAACAGTTAATAATTGCAATTATTTGAGTAAATAAAATCTAGAATTTTCTGTTTGTGAAGCTCAAAGATTTAAGTTTTTCTTATGAAGAAAAGAAAATGATCTCAATGTAAGATTAGAGTTCAACAATACTTTTTTTAGTTTATGTCAATATTAAGTTTGAGTTTGACTTAAAACTTTTGTGAAGACAGTTGACTTAAAATCTGAGTCGTTTTGTTGTTTTTGTTTTTAAAGTTTTATGACTGGAATTCTTGTCTCTAAATATTTAGGTTTTCCAGGGCACTTGAACCCTATTCAACATGGCAGACTCCATAAAAGGTGACCTGCATCTTTTGTAGATAAGAACAGCTCATTCTAAGGTAACAAAAGCACACCAGTTCTTATTTTCAGGTGATTATACACTAATGAAAACATACCTATGAACATTATATTCCATTTCTGACAATAGATCCCCTTAAGAAATATTTTCAAAACATTACATATATTAATAACACATTTACATAAAATAATAAAATATATCAGTGACATATGACAGTGTAGTGACACATTTCCTTATCATAATCTAAAACCACAGTGCTGACAACACTGAACCCACTGACACAAAAAACACAAATCACTTTAATTAAGCTTACTTTACTGGATATATGTGGCAGTGACTGTACAAATTATTTTTCAATAATTTAATTATCATATATTATCATAACTATACATTCATTTAACTATTTTGATGTATGTGCTGACACACCTTAATACACAAAACTGTATTAGCGCAGCTGTTGCTCAAATATGTCGTAGTGTAGAAAATGTGGTTTGCGTGATGCAAGATGAAACATTAGTGATAAATCCAACATATTCAAATTAAGTTTGGTGACAAAAGCAGTGATCCAGAAGACAATTCTGCATTATCATGGAGGAAATAAACCCACATAGACTGCTGCTGTATTTCAAGAATCTGTCAAAGGGAAAAATGAAGTGAGTCTAAGATCCTCAGTCAGCATTCTGGCTGGAGCATGAAGGGTGACAGCACATATTACAACTGCAGGAGGGAGAGCGATTGGCTGTAATATAAAAAATATGATAATATGATTTGGCCGCTAGGAATGGTAGCTCATGTTTATAGCTTTTATTCTTTATCTGACGGTAAAACACTCACACACACTGCATATTCTTCTTCATATCGCACACACACACGCCTTGTATCAATACAGCGGTCTTCCACACTGATATAAAATAATCAATCACGGGGTATAGATTGCATGTTTACCAGCGTCCTAGTGAACGTGAGGATTTCTACACCTTCACAAACTGAAAATGAAACTGATTTGATGCCCATATATTCCTGCCATTCTGTCTTTTTCCATACATTATTCATTGTAGTGTGAGCTGCCTGGTTCTCGAAACATGTTTCCCTTTCTGGAGGACATCATCAGCTCTCAATTTCACTGAAAACAGGATATTTTGACACATCATGCACTCCCTCTTATTTCATATGCACTCGCATGGTGTGCGCAGGGTGTAGTGATGCGCGGGCCGACACGTAACCCGTGGGTCTCATGGGTTACCCGCGGGTCGGGTTTGGGTCGGGTTGGGTCGGGTTGGGTCGGGTCAAGAAATGTTAATGTCACGGGGGGAAGTTTGATTTTATTTAAGCATGCTTTTACTTTGAATTTGCTGTGTTTTTGTCTTATTTATTATTGCATGCTTTTATTTTGAAGTGTGTTTGTGTTACGTTGGTTTTACTTCCCCACCGGAGACATACCTTAATCAAGCATAAGGACTTACACCTTGCACCCAGAGAGGGGAGTGACTGTTCTTGGATAAAAAGGACACTATGGAAGATACCCGGGGGCACGAGGAGGACACAGAGGGCACGAGGGAGGACACGGAGGTCACAACGGGCCGGACAGCAGGAAGCAGACAGAGAGACAGAGCAGATCATCGCACTGGAAGAGGTCTGAAGAGACACCGGAGCGAACACCGACCGTTAGCGGCTATAATTGGGAGAAGGTAAAACTTCTCCCTCCCGCGTAAGTCCCGTTTCAGACCGGTGTTTGTGTAGTGTGTAATATATAAAGTTGTGCCTTGTTAAAGGACATTGACTGGCCCTGAGTTTCCCTCGACAGGCTGCCGAAGAGAGGAGCCAGGTGAAGAGCAGGTGGTCGCCACCAGAGACCCGCGACTGCCGTTGTTGACCTCCCACTCCATCCGTGCCACATTATTTTAGCTGGGTTTTAGTTGTTTGTGTTCTTTGTTTAGTTTATTTGAAGGTAGAGCTTTTAGTTGTTTTTACTTATTTTAAAATAAATTGTGTTCAACTGTGTTCCACTGGCTGTACTCATTGTTTTAAAAATAACACTGTTTACTGCTCTCCCCCGACATAAAAGAACCTGTTTACCCTAACTTTAATTTGGTGATCCTAAGAGGTCCTAGGCCTCAGTTAAACCTAGGTGGCGTTGTCGGCACTTGTGTTTTAATTTATCCACCCTTAGCACGGCTCACATTTTGGCGTTGTCGGCAGGATCGGGTACAGAGAGCAGTGTGGTGTATTTTAAAACAGTGAATATGATGATGCCTGTATATCCTGGTGCCCCTTGGCTGCCAAAGTTTAAAGGACCAAATTGTGACCTGAAATATCATGACTGGAAGGAGCAAATACAGGGCTTACTTGGAGCGCAAGAGCTAGCAGAGGCCAGAAAAATTGACATTGTGTTGGGTGCGTTAGCTGGGGAAGCCAAACGGCAGGTCAGTGTTTTAGAGGATGACGAAAGGGATAGAGTACGCAAAATCTTTCTGTATTTGGACTCTCTATATGGAGACAGAACCCCCGCCCCAGTGTTAAGGTCTCAGTTTTTTAGTTGTGTCCAAAGACCAGACGAGACTGTGCCCTCATTCATTCTAAGACTAAGAGAGCTGTATTGCAGGTTGCGGCAACATGACCCTGATGGAACTCCCCCTGACACAGTCCTGCGAGACCAGCTGCTGTTGGGGCTGCGTGAAAGTTCCCTGGCTCAGGCCCTGAAGGTCTATGCCCGCCGTAACCCTGATGAAACTTTTTCTGCAATCAGACAGGAGGCGCTGCTGCTTGATACAGAACATGGGAACCCCCAACCGGAGGTAATCTGTGCTTCTGTGTATAAACCAAATGTGCCTCCTCCATCACAGGACACCAGCTGGAGAGAGACCCTGAAAAGAGAGATCATGGAAGACGTGAAATCTCAGATGACCGGACTGACCCAGGAACTGTTGCGAGAGATTAAACCGCTCCTTCAACCAGCTGTTATTGCACCACAGCCCCTAATACAGCCCTATAGGGAGCGACAACGATCAGTTTCCCAGACGAACACCTGGGATGAGCAAGGTAGGCCCATTTGCCGCCAATGCAGACAAGCCGGCCACATAGCTAGATTTTGTAGGAGGCCAACTACTGCTCGGCAGGCTTTAAACTAGCTTTCCCTGCTGCTGAGGTCCGAGGGGCAGGGGTTGAAAGTACAACAGAAGAAAACGGGCCCACTGAAGCATTTATTGGAAGGTGTCCAACTATAGACGTAAACATTGAAGGAGTTACACTGTCGGGGCTATTAGACACGGGGTCCCAGGTCACCTTAATGCAGCAAAGCCTCTTTGAGCAACATTTTACCCAAGCTAAGCTTGGAAAGGCTCCTATAGTTTTTAAGTTACAGGCCGCAAATGGCCTGGAGATCCCTTATACGAGCTATGCCGTATTAGATCTGGAGCTAGAGGGTGCTAAGATACCTGGAAGAGGAATTGTGATTGTGAAGGATGAACACTGTACACACCCACTCATCATTGGAATGAATGTTGTTACTGCTTGTTGGACTGTTTTTTTTAAATGTCCCAGAGGGTCTGTTCCCCCCCCACAGACGTTACAGAGACAGCGGGTTTGGAGGGATGCATTTGCTACATGCAGACACATTGAGGCTACCATGACAGAGGACGGGATGTTGGGGTACGTGCGGCCAGCCAGCCGACGGGTCATCAAAATTCCCCCAAAGAGTGAAGTACTGGTGTGGGGTCGGGCTCGGATGAGCCTGGGGGGAAAAGATTACTGTGCCCTAATTGAAGCGCTGCCTGAGACTTGCAGTGTGAGGGTGGCCAGGACCCTAGCAGTGATAAGAAATGGCAGAGTCCCTGTGAGAGTTTTTAACCCACACCCCTACTGTTTGATGCTAGATCGGTACCAGAAGCTTGGCAAACTGTCCCGGGTGGATGAAGCGGATGTACATGGAGCCTGCGACCTTAACCTGTCCCTTGAAGGTGATTGTGTTGTTGGAGTGACACTGGTAAATGCTGCAGTTGACGAGGAGGACCAGAAGCTGCCGATAGGGGTGAGTGAACTCTCCAACAGGCCTGATCTGTCTGAGCAGCAACAGGAGGAGCTGCGCGCCCTGCTGCTGAAATGGCAGAAGGTGTTTGCACAGCACAATGAGGACTTCGGACGTACAGACCTGGTACAACATCGCATCCATACTGGTGATGCACCACCTATCCGAGAACGACATCGACCTCTTCCCCCTGCCATGTATAAAGAGATGAAATCCCTACTCTCAGGTATGCTGGAGCAAGGTGTCATTAAAGAGAGCTGTAGCCCATGGGGGGCACCCATAGTACTGGTGAGAAAAAAGATGGCAGTTGGAGATTCTGTGTGGATTACAGGAAGTTAAATGCAATAACTCATAAAGATGCATTTCCC